ACATGTGCACATGCATGCATGCATACATACGTACACACATACACACATAGACACACACTTACATGCATACATACATACATACATACATGCATACATACATACATACATACATACATAGACACATACATGCATACATAGACACATACATAGATACATGCATACATACATACATACATACATACATACATACATACCTAGATGGATAGATAGATACATACATACGTGCACATGTATATATAAAGCCTATATATGTACAGCCGCACATGTGTCTGAGAGAGTGAGATAGATACTGGCTTGTACAGCTCTCTGTGCACCTGTTTGTCCCTCTCCCTTCCTCTGTCTGCCTCACTGCTGCACCAAGCCTTGGGCGGTTGTGACCTTGCAGTCCTTGAGCAGAGGTGACTTGTCACGCTGGCAACATGCCCTCGCATGAGAAGTTCGCATCCAAGATCACGTGCCTCGGATGCCTGTTGACGCAGGTCTGGCGTTTTGGGACCTGCACTTTGCAAGCCTTCAACATCGGAAACGCGGCAGATATCGAGATATCGGTAGATACTGCCGCAACCTGCCTGAGGTATCCAGAAGCCCGGGCCATAGTCTGAAGTCCAGATGTGTGCGGCTCTCTCTTCATCGCACCCTTCTATGATGAGTGATCTGCCAGCAAAGCAAGCGATGTGCCATCTGCAGCTGGAGCCGAGTTCTTGACGTTGGTGACGTTCTGCGGCAACACGGGCGAGCCCATGGATTTGTCCAGGCGCTGATATTCTGTAGTAGCTTACCAGCGATGACTTCAACGAATTCTGGGGGAGTTCCGGCAGTGCATGTATCCTACATCTTGACAAGATGTAAGATAAGTAGGAGATCCCGATGCTTCAGTTCGTGACAGGGTGGACGGAAGCCGATTCCGCGAAAACGAGACTCGCAGATGCCTTGGCTTTCGCGCTTCCGTTGCAGCTTGCAAGCTGAAGGGTTCATAGTAATTCACTTGTGAAGTAGGCTTCGAAGTATTTCGAAGCCATGAAATGCCATGTTGTCAGAAGCCTGTTGCCTGCCGTCATTGGCTCTAGCATGGTCAGCCGCTTGAAACCTCATCAACGGCTGCTATCGCGATCTCGACCTCGACCTCTTCGAGTTCACATCACATTGTCTCTTCTTTCACTAAGAGCTCTACTACTGGACTCCATCATGGCAGTCCTCAGCTCATGCTACTCGTTCTTCACCAGCTCCACTACGCTCAACATTACGTTGCGGACTATGTTCCTGGCGGCTCTCACCTCCATGCTCTTCAACGCCATCGACCTTCGTCTTCCAGTCCCAGCGGCGGTGGAAGAGTTGACCGTCGTGGTTGTGCTGCTCGCCCTGGAACTTGGTCTCAGCCGCCGCCAGGACAGCACGACCAAGAAGAGCAAGCCATGCCCCGGTGAGCGGCGTGTCTACGAAGATGTCACCGGCCTGGCTGGGCGGCTCCAGGCAGCAGCCAAGGCAGGTGACACGGATGCAGCAGAGGCCCTCATGGAGAGGATTCTGGGCGAGGGTACCAAGCCCAGCTTGGTTTGCTATGGAGCCTTGATCTCAGCCTTTGCTAAAGCCGGGGACGTGAAGCGTGCGGAGTATTGGCTGGAGGCTCTCGAAGCCTCCGGTGTTGGCAGCCCTAACGGGATCTGCCTGAATATGTTGATCAGTGCCTGTGCCAAAGCCAATGCTGTTGATCGTGCAGAATATTGGCTTGTGAAGATGCCTTCTTTGGGATTGAGCCCGGATGTCATGAGCTACAACGCCGTCATCGATGCTTGCGCAAGGACGGGGGACGTGGTTCGGGCAGAGCGTTGGCTTGAGAAGATGAAGGCTTCTGGCACAACCCCCAATGTTGTCAGCTACAGCTCCGTGTTGCATGCTTGTGCCCGCAGCTGCGATGCCAGTCTGGCCGAGCGCTGGCTCGAGCGCATGTCGAAGGAGGGCGCCGAGCCGAATGCCATCTGCTACAATGCCGTGATCAACGCTTGGTGCAAGGAGGGCAACACTCGACGTGCTGCTCATTGGCTCGAGCAGATGTCTCAACGAGGAGTCCAGCCCACCGTTAATAGCTACAGCACAATCATCGACAAGTTGGCAAAGGCTGGTGACATCGACGGTGCCGAGACCTGGCTGATGCGTATGGCAGAGGCAGGCGTGGAGGCAGATGCCGTCTCTTACAACATGCTATTCAGCGCTTGCAGCAAGATGGGCGATTCAGTGAGGGCCGGCAAGCTTTTCGATCAGATGATGCAGCGGAAGGTCACCCCAAATACAATCTGCTTCAACCTGATCATCAACACCCACAGCCGTCAAGGTGATTTCTACGCTGTTCTGCGACGTCTGCGGCAGATGCGCGAGCAGGGCATCCAAGCGGATCGTGTCAGCTTCAACACCTCGCTGAAGGCCTTCTCGCGTTGCTCCGATTGCAAGGCCGTTGAGAAGCTCCTGGAGGAGATGCAAAGTGCCGGTGTGAAGCCCGACGTCGGGGCCTACAACACCTTCATTGCGGTGTGCATGCGTGCCAAGGACGCTTCGAAGGCCGAGGAATGGCTGTGTCGAATGACAAGTGCCGGCGTTCAGGCAGATGCCGTGAGCGACTGGGATGCCATCTGTTATGGGATGTTCTGGGGTTTTGGCAGAGATTGTTAGGTGCCCAGCTGCTGCGCAGGATACAGACAGAGCATTTGGCATAGTGCAGCCGCGCTCCAGGCTACTGCACCATGATCGATGCCTTTGCACAGAGCGGCGACTTGCACCGTGCCGAGAAATGGCTCGAGAAGATGGAGCGTTCTGGGCTCCAGGCGGGAACTCTGCGCGTGATTATTGTCTAGCTTCGTAAGCATGGTGACTAGCCATGCTTCATACCTGAGGGCCTCCCCTTCCTGGTACTTGCGATGCAGTTTCTAACAGGTTGGTGCCACAACCTACGGGTTGCTGATCAGTGCCTCGGCAGACATGAAGAAACAACCCTGACATGCGATCAGCGCCCTAGACACGCCAGCCTGATGAAGGTACAGTCGCGAAGATGGGCGACGTTGGCCGGGTTGAGCGCATCTTCGAGCGAATGGACCGTGCCAACGTCGAAGTCAATGGCGCAACCTGACACGTGTAGAGGAAGTTTGCTGAGTTGTGTCAAGGCGGCCGTTGGCTTTCTCCTCTTACTGAGTCTGCGTCCTGTCCGATAGATTTACATGTGTTTCCATGATAGAGGGTTCGGGCAGTTCGTTTGCTCTGAGTCCACCTACAACGCGCTCATCTCGGCCTGCGCTCGGAAGGGGGACGTGGACCGCGCCGAGTTCTGGCTGAAGAAGCTCCTGAAGTCCAACGCGCAGGCGGACGTCGCCAGCTACTCCTCGGTGATCCACGCGTGTGCCAAGGCGAACAGCCTTCGCCGGGCCGAGGCACCTGAAAAAAAAGCTATACACATAGCTGCAAAATGAGTCACGGCTGTTCTAACTCTGTCGTTCCGAGTTGGTTCTTCTCCTTCCAGCCTTCCCCAGAGGGGCTAGGAACATGATTGAATGCCCCCTGCCCCCGCTTCATTCGTTAGGCTTGGATCGAACAGATGGAGCACGACGGCATCCCAGCCAACGTGGTGACCTACAACAGCGCGGCTGGGGTGTGGTTAAGGGTGTTATTTTTGAGTGACCAACAGAGAGATACATCGTGTTTAGGCTACAGTATGGATCATGTCGTCCCCCTTGCTAATGGGAGCTTGAAAGCGAATATTGAGTTCCCGACAACAAGAACCCAGGTGATCAACGCCTGCGCACGCTGCGGGGACGCCACACGTGCCGAGTACTGGTTTCAGAAGATGACGGCTCAGGGAGTGCAGCCGGGAGTCCTCACCTTCAACTCCCTGGTGGGGGGTGTGTTACAAAAGCTGTAGGTGGGTGTCCCTACTATTTGGGATGACTGGGGATCACGAGACGGTAACATTCAGTAAGGCTCAGGGACAAAGGATCTCGGATCCCTTTCCTGAGGTGAACGCCTGCGCCAAGGCCTTGGATGTGGATCGCGCCGAGAAGTGGCTCCAAGAGATGCCACAGCACAACGTCCAGCCGGATGACGTGTCCTACAGCACCGTGATCCATGCCTGCGGCACTGCCCAGGAACCCGAGAGAGCCGAGCAATGGATGAAGCTGATGATCTCCTCGCTTTCCAGCCAAGGTGAAAAGCCGGGCTCTTTCTGCTACAATTCCATTGCCCAGGCCTGGGTTCGAGCTGGCGATGTGGACCGGGCCATGCACTGGCTTTCAGAAGCAGAACGCCTTGGGGTGGAAGTGTCCTCTGCGAGCTTGAACGGTGTTGTAAGTGCACTGACCAGGGCTCGCCGACACAGCGAGGTGGAGCTTTGGTCCTCGAAGGTTCGCAAAGGTGATCGGGGCGACAGGGGCGAGCGCCGCTACCCGCAACGACGCCAGGCTCCGGGCCGCTTTTAAGCCCAAGGTGGCGCAAAAGTGGTGCTGACGGGGCGTAGCCGGCGTGGAGCGCATTGTATCAAATGCGCATCCATGTAGCTCTGCACAGGCACCGGCACGCCGCGAAATCCAAAAAAAATTGGCCCATGCCACTGTTGTGCTGTGCGACCGCTTGCTTGTTAATCTCCTGTGTGGCACTGGTGCTGAGGCCTTGAGCAGGTGAAGCGACTCGCCACGTTCCTTTGCGTCCCGGCCAGTACTGAATCTTTAGTCTTTAGTTTTGCTGAGGCATTTAAGCCTGCGCGTCTGCATTGCCACTCTTCCCTCGCTTTGTCGCGAGCCTCATCCAGATGACCACCTGACAAGAATGCAGCCGAGGCTTAAATAATTCGAAGAAGGCACCGGCGCGAGTTGAAAGTCCTGTGCACCGCATGTTTTCGTTCGTGACTTAATCTTAGAGCGTCCTGTCAGGTGAAGCTGCACCTCCACAATGCCTACCGCGACACACACTTCTGGAAGCTGAGTCACTTGTTTCGTCTGAGGTTCTTAAGAGAGCACTCGAGCAAGCCCGGAAGGATTGTTGTTATCATTATATCTCTCATTGTTATTGTCCTAATTGTTGCTCTTGCTTGTTGTTTTTACTATCATTGTTACTAACCCTGTGGCTAGTATCGTAACTACCCTCAGTTTCTTTGCCTCTGCAATTGTTGTGGTTGTGGTTGTGGTTGCGGTTTCGGTTGTGGTTGTGGTTGTTGTTGTGGTGGCGGTGGTGGTGGTGGTGGTGACCGCTGCTGTCACTGTTACTGCTTTCCTTCCTAGTCTCATTGTCCTTACTAAGTTACTACTAATGATACTAATGATTACTAATGTTGTTATGGTCATTGTGGGAAGACGCCCCTGCTCATTGGAATCATCTTCATGATCCTCGTTCCCGTGCAAGCAAAGCCGTAGCATCCGGCTGAGTAGCCCAAGGTGATGGTGCCGACTTCCAGAAGGTGCAATGTGCAGGGCCTCCAGGGTGACTGGTTTTGGGCTCAGGCGTGTATTTAGATAATTCACTCAATAAGTACTATATAAGTACATACATAAATAAAGAAGCCAGTGAATAAGGTTAAACGAACAAATACATAAATACGTAACTTTCTATATATACACACATACACACTTGTTTGTATATGTTTGCATGCGCTATAGAATCTATCTATCTATTTATCTATTTTGAACCTAAACATACAAATACATACATATATGTTTATATGTGTACATAGACAGACAGACAGACAGACAGACAGACAGACAGACAGGCGCGTACCTGTAAACAACAACAACTACAACAACTACTACTGGCACTACTGCTGGCAATAGTGGTTGCGACTGTAATCTCGCTCCCTCTTGCTCATACAGATACACACACATACACATGCACATGCACATACACCTACAAATACACATATGTATACGCATATTCATACGCATACGCATGCACATACACATACGCATGCACATACACATACACATACGCATACACATACACAAGCACATGCACAGACATATACACATACACATACATGCCTGCTTACATACGGGCATGCATGCATACATACATGCAGACATGCATATATATATATGTAGATATATGTACCTGTGTTTATATACTATACCATACTATGTCATGTTTGAGTATGTTGATATCACATTCTGTTATATTGTATTATCCGGTGTTTTGATATGCTATGTCCTGTTATGTTATTCTGTAGTTTCATGATTATACACCCCCTCCTTCAAGAGTGATGAGACTAGCCAACTCTGAAACCCTATGATCCTTTGTGCAAGCTTGCAAGACGTTGTAACGGCCCTTCATGTCCAGTCGTGTCTTCCTTCTGAAGCCCAACGAGGCGCAAAGGAACTCCTGTATCTGTTGATAAAGGCCCAAGAAACATCCTCTGAACCAATCCCTTAGATAATCCTATAAAGGTCCTTGTAACCTTTACACCCTAAACCCTAACAAGCCTCAGTTTTGTGGCGAGTCCTTGGCAGGAAGCCAGAGCCGCAGAGATGAGATCCCGACCCCACTATGAGGCCGGGAGTGGGTTTTGAGGTTTAGGGTTTGAGGATGTTTGGGGGTTTGTAGTTACATTGTAGTTTTGGAGTTGAGGGCTTCAGGGTTTTATGGTCGAAGAGGCCTTGGGGGACGACGCAAGCACACTGCGTGTAAGGTTGGCTGCCTGGAGATTGACACAGAGATTACAGCAGCAAAGAAGTTTCTGGAGAAGTTCACCTGGACAAATCCAGACAATCTCTGGGAGGAGTTTGAGGCAGGCACACAGCGGTCTTGCGATGTTGCCCGTGCTTCGCTCTTGTATTGTAGTGCAAAAAGCTGGAGCGCCATCAGGGTTCAGATCTTTTGACTTTGTGGTTCTGGTTAATGAGACTCCTGTGAGAGACAGTTTTCCAGTTCCGATCCTGCCGTGAGTAGAAGAACTGTTGCTGATTCAATAGAACATTGACTCTTATGGCTGGAAGGCACCCTTCTTGGACATGGGCGCCAGTGTGCTGAACCAGAAGTCCAAACGCTTCAAGCTTCAGAGACTCGCCTGCCCTGCATCCAAGCTGCGTGCTGTTCGATCGTGGCTCTTCCGCAGGGTGTCAACAACCCTAAACCCTAAACCCCAAAACCCCAAAACCCTAGACCCTAAACCCCTAAACCACTGAAGTGTCGCCCGAGGATCATCAATCGAGCCCTTGTGCTCGCGAAGTTGAGCATCCAGCTTTCCAACACAGGGCCCTTGAGGCTTCCGTGGAAGGACGGGTTGAGTTTCAGACTCGACCTGTGGTCCTAGAAGCCTAGCATGTTGAGGGTTACTTGTCAAGATTTCCCTCGATCTTCTCTTGAGAAGTAGGCCTTTAGGCTAATGCTATGTAGGGTTTGGGGTAGTTAAGGCTGCACGATTGACCGTTGAAGAGGCTTCCCTGGAAGGACTGCATGGTCGGACCAGGGCAGCATGTCAACGCCCCTTGGACTCACTTAGTGTCCGGATCGGCTCACTCCATCAACAGGGTTTGATTTTATGGCGGCCCCGTCGACTGTCCTTCATATCATGAAGAAGAGGTTGGCCGGGAGCACTATCTTCCAACAACCCTCTCCTCGACCGACAACACAGCAAAGCCGCACGACTGAGCCCTGCGACCTGACAACCGAGACCACTGCCGCCCGACCATGCCACTTCAAGAAGCCTCCTTCCCTACACTCCCCCGAGACCCAGGTCCTGATCGACACAGCACCCATCGAGTGTGGTGAGTGGCGCGGGGCCATCCGCGTTCTGGGCAGTTGGGCGACCTAGCTGCACTTGGTTTTCGCAGTACATATAACCTTGGGATGATTGACGACGCCACCTTCACACGAAGACCAAGGCCGGGTTCTTTGGGAATGTGGAGGGGGAGGTGTGCATCCCCACCTACTTCAGGGTTCAGGCGCAGCAGAAGGACAAGGACGCAGGGAGGACTCTGCCGGTGCACGCTCCGAGACCTTTCCGGCCGGGCAGCGCGAACAGGAGCCTAGCCGCCACGAGACTGTGTGGGAGATGTGTAGGATGTGGTAGGTTGGAGGTTTAGGGTCCAGATTCTGAATCTGAAGCAAAACCTTCAGATGTTCGGGATGCTGTGTGGCCCACTCCAACATCTCAGGGGATGCCATGTATTTCTTTTGCAGCTTTCTGAAATCTAGCAGACACGGCTCCTAATTAACCTCCACAAGAACACCCCCTCAGAAACCCCAAAAGCCCTTGCACAAACAGCACCCCAAACAGTGACAAAATGCGCACCATAGCCCAGACCACGCACGGCACTGGCGGGAACGGACTTCGGCAGCCGGAAACGTGCGGGACTGACAGGAACACGGCTTTCAGACCGGAACCACGTGTCGCACCCAAAGTATGCACATGGCACGATTCATCAGACCTGGAAAGAACGTGATTCGAGTCGACAAGGTGCACCGCGCCAAAGCAGGAGCCCTGGAACTGCGGAGCGTGTAGGAGCCGAATGTAACAAATAGAAACGGATATGAGACCTTATACAACCTTGCCGCAACCCCTCTCAAACCCAACAAAAACCCAGATGGGACTTTCCGGAAATTAGGGTACCTTATTTTGGGGTCCTTATAAGAAGGATCCTACTATTAAGGGTACCATATTAGGGTCCCCTACCCGCGGAAACCCCCAAAAAGGCCAGCAGATATCCAGCCCGACACCTCGAAAGAAGCGGTTCAGAGGATCTGGATCGACCCAGCGACGTTGCACCCACAGCAGCTCCGGAGCCCGACGCCACTGCGGCTTCGGCCGGCGAGCTCCTCGGCCCCTTGGCTCTCTGACTAAGATGTTGCTGAGGATAATGATGATGATGGTGATGATCATGATGATTATGATTAGTATTAGTATTAGTATTTGCACAGCTTGGGAGAAGGCCCCCGTGCTGTGTTGGTGTGGCGTTTCCGGGCAGCTTGCTAGCGTCGGTAGTCTGTTTGGTCCAGTGGCACTTACGAGCCATGCTGCGTTCATCGAGGATCCGAAAGCCCCAATGCCCCAATGCGGCACTTTACTCCGAAGCCCAGTGTCGGCAAGAAAACCGTAATCTCAATGCGGCCGCGGCCACACTTCCCCCGACGCCGGCCCCGTATGCGTCCTGAAAAGGATCGAAGCCCCCAAAGCCGCAGCAGTTGGATTTGCTCTTTGCTGTACTAAGGCCAGCAGCGCCAAGCAAGAGTCCCAACAAGGCTACCGGCCGGGATCCTCAAGGAGCGCCGGCTCTTCAATGTATGTATGTATGTATGTATGTATGTATGTATGTATGTGTGTATGTGTGTGTATGTATGTGTGGGTGTATGTGTACGTATATGTACATGTATATGTACATGTATATGTACATGTATATGTACAAGTCAAGTACAAGGACATGTACATGTACATGCATATGCACATGTACACGTATATGTATATGCACAAGTATATGTGTATGCATGCATGTATGTATGTATGTATGTATGTATGTATGTATGTATGTATGTAACTGTATGTATGTATATATATACATATATATATATATATGCATATATATAATTGTTATACATACGCACACACACACACATGTATGCATATATATATATATGTATACACACATGTATTTCTTTGTTTCTTGTATAGATACACACACATAGAGTGTTGCATTATATATCAAAGCAACAAACAAACAAGCAAGTACAGACTGAAATACATAAATGGAAACATTACATAACATAACATATATATATACATATATAAGTATATGTGTATGTGAAACTAGTATGTGTATGTGTATATGCATGTGTACGTGTATACATTCACACATACATGCATACATGCATACATACATACATACATACATACATACATACATATGCATACATACACTGGAGCAGCATGTACATGTCCATGCATACATGGGTATATGGACATGTCTGTATTCGTTCACATATGGGTGCAGGTATGGATGTCGTATGTGGCATGTCTAGATGACTTAGGGTTTTGGACTCACTGGGCCATTCCTTGGTGTGAGGACCGGGGTCAGCACGGCGGTGCCCTCGTCTCGGCCACTCAGCGCCCTGGGCCCTCCTTCGTCGCGTGCCCTGGATGCAGAGAGTTTTGGGTTAGGGTTTGGCCCACACCTTGAGCAGGCGCATTATTTGTTATATATGATATATTAAATATTATATATTCTGTATTATATATTATGTATTATGTACCCCTAGCAGCGGTCCGCCCCCCAACAAATAGTGTCGTGAAGGTGCTGACAACAAACGGAATGCCATGGTGCTCAGTTCTGCCATCTTGCTATATCTGAGTATCTTAGTGCAGCAACGCTTGCTCTGTCTGCTCAGGGAGTTGAGCAAGGATGCCTACTCGTAGGATCCGGCTCCACGACAAGGGAGGATAATCCAAACTCTTGCCCCTGGCGATGGCCTGCACCCTGCATACAATGGCCAGTAAGCCTAAACATGCAACGTGAAACCCTCAAACCTACAGCACAGCCTGGCTTTAGCCTATGAAGCCCCCAAGCATTTCGCAACCCGACTCAGGAGGTTGTTGCTCGGCCAGCGCAGTGCCCTCCTCGCGCAGCCAAGCTGGTCGTCACGTGGCTGCGCCACTGCCGCCATCAGCTCCGCAGGTTGACCATAGCATCATATTCAGGAAAGGGGACATTAGATGAGGGTTTTGGAGAGTGTGTATCTCGTATGAGCATGTCATATGGTGACATGTCTGTCGATGATAGTTCTGATTCGAAGTCCACTTCGCAGCTCCTCGCAGCAGGTTTCGAGGCTTCAGAATTAAGGGAATCTCGTTTGAGGGTTCGGGGTAGGGGTGCGTTTCGTTTCAGGATGCAGGTTCAGGGGCGGGGATTAGGTAAGGACTTCGGAAGGTCCTTTCTTCAGGTATCCCAGTGCCGGCCGCCAAAGTCGCATCCTTCCAGGTTTGTTCAACCCCTGAAACCCCCGAACATCCACAGCCTACATTCTGCCCACAGAAACAAACATGTAATCCCAAGACATCCCCCTACAAGATGGCCCCCCTACCGAGAGACCCCTGGAGCCCTGGCTTCCTCAACTCCTAACTCCTTATCCCCTGAGCTAAACCCCTGAAACAAGAGATCCCTACAGCATAAGGAAGCAGGAGGAACAGGGGCCTTCAACAAGAACCTCTAAACCCGAAACCCTCAACCCTTAAACCCCTAAGATACCCGAAACCTACCCGAAGCCCTGGAGGAAGCGCCGCGCCCTACCAGCCGTCCCCGGCCGCGGTCCGCGCCGTCGGCTCCTCCCCTTCCCAAGGCTGGCTTCATGGGCTGAATATATCATAAGCAAATAAGCAAATAAATAAGACACACACACACATACATATATATATATACATACATACATACACACATACATACATCTACATCTACGTCTACGTCTACGTCTACGTCTACGTCTACATCTACATCCACATCCACATCTACATATACATATACATATA